GGGGGGAGTGTGTGTTGAGAGAAGTCTGTGGAAGCTGCGCGGAGAGTGTGTGTTGAGAGAAGTCTGTGAATGCTGCGCTGAGAGAGTATCTGTTGAGAGAAGTCTGAATGCTGCGCGGAGAGAGTGTGTGTTGAGAGAAGTCTGTGGAAGCTGCGCATAGATAGTGTCTGTTGAGAAAAAATCTGTGGAAACTGCGCAGAGGTAGTGTGTTGAGAGAAGTCTGTGGATGCTGCTCGGAGAGAGTGTCTGTTGAGAGAAGTCTGTGGAAGCTGCGCGGAGGTACTTTGTGTTGAGAGAGGTCTGTGGAAGCTGCACGGAGACTGTGTGTTAAGAGAAGTCTGTGGAAGCTGTGCGGAGATACTGTGTTTTGAGAGAAATATTTGGAAGCTGTGCGTAGATACTGTGTATTGAGAGAAGTCTGTGGAAGCCGCGCGGAGATAGTGTGTGTTGAGAGTAATCTGTGGAAGCTGTGCGGAGGTACTTTGTGTTGAGAGAAGTCTGTTGAAGCTGCGCGGAGAGTGTGTGTGTTGAGAGAAGTCTGGAAGCTGCGCGTAGATAGTGTGTTGAGAGTAGTGTGTGGAAGCTGCGCGTAGATAGTGTGTTGAGAGAAATATGTGGAAGCTGCGCATAGATACTGTGTGTTGAGAGAAGTCTGTGGTAGCCGCGCGGAGATAGTGTGTGTTGAGAGAAATCTGTGGAAGCTGCGCAGAGGTACTTTGTGTTGAGAGAAGCCTTTGGAAGCTGCGCGGAGGGAGTGTGTGTTGAGAGAAGTCTGTGGAAGCTGCGCATAGATAGTGTGTGTTGAGAGAAGTATTTGGAAGTTGCGCGTAGATACTGTGTGTTGAGAGAAGTCTGTGGAAGCCTCGCGGAGATAGTGTGTGTTGAGAGAAGTCTGTGGAAGCTGCGCATAGATAGTGTGTGTTGAGAGAAGTATTTGGAAGTTGCGCGTAGATACTGTGTGTTGAGAGAAGTCTGTGGAAGCCTCGCGGACATAGTGTGTGTTGATAGAAGTCTGTGGAAGCTGCGCGGAGGTACATTGTGTTGAGAGAAGTCTGTGGAAGCTGCGCGGAGAGAGAGTGTGTTGAGAGAAGTCTGTGGAAGCTGCGCAGAGAGTGTGTGTGTTGAGAGAATTCTGTGGAAACTGCGCAGAGGTAGTGTGTGTTGAGAGAAATCTGTGAAAGCTGCGTAGAGAGAGTGTGTGTTCAGAGAAGTCTGTAGAAGCTGCGCGTAAATAGTGTGTGTTGAGAGAAGTCTGTGGGAGCTGCGTGGAGGTACTGTGTGTTGAGAGAAGTCTGTGGAAGCTGCGCGGAGAGAGAGTGTGTTGAGAGAAGTCTGTTGAAGCTGCGCAGAGAGGTTGTGTTCAGAGAAGTCTGTGGAAGCTGCGCGGAGAGAGTCTGTGTTGAGAGAAATCTGTGGAAGCTGCGCGTAGATAGTGTGTGTTGAGAGAAGTATGTGGAAGCTGCGCGTAGATAGTGTGTGTTGAGAGAAGTATGTGGAAGCTGCGCGTAGATAGTGTGTGTTGAGAGAAGTATGTGGAAGCTGCGCGTAGATAGTGTGTGTTGAGAGAAGTATGTGGAAGCTGCGCGTAGATAGTGTGTGTTGAGAGAAGTATGTGGAAGCTGCGCGTAGATAGTGTGTGTTGAGAGAAGTATGTGGAAGCTGCGCGTAGATAGTGTGTGTTGAGAGAAGTATGTGGAAGCTGCGCGTAGATAGTGTGTGTTGAGAGAAGTATGTGGAAGCTGCGCGTAGATAGTGTGTGTTGAGAGAAGTATGTGGAAGCTGCGCGTAGATAGTGTGTGTTGAGAGAAGTATGTGGAAGCTGCGCGTAGATAGTGTGTGTTGAGAGAAGTATGTGGAAGCTGCGCGTAGATAGTGTGTGTTGAGAGAAGTATGTGGAAGCTGCGCGTAGATAGTGTGTGTTGAGAGAAGTATGTGGAAGCTGCGCGTAGATAGTGTGTGTTGAGAGAAGTATGTGGAAGCTGCGCGTAGATAGTGTGTGTTGAGAGAAGTATGTGGAAGCTGCGCGTAGATAGTGTGTGTTGAGAGAAGTATGTGGAAGCTGCGCGTAGATAGTGTGTGTTGAGAGAAGTATGTGGAAGCTGCGCGTAGATAGTGTGTGTTGAGAGAAGTATGTGGAAGCTGCGCGTAGATAGTGTGTGTTGAGAGAAGTATGTGGAAGCTGCGCGTAGATAGTGTGTGTTGAGAGAAGTATGTGGAAGCTGCGCGTAGATAGTGTGTGTTGAGAGAAGTATGTGGAAGCTGCGCGTAGATAGTGTGTGTTGAGAGAAGTATGTGGAAGCTGCGCGTAGATAGTGTGTGTTGAGAGAAGTATGTGGAAGCTGCGCGTAGATAGTGTGTGTTGAGAGAAGTATGTGGAAGCTGCGCGTAGATAGTGTGTGTTGAGAGAAGTATGTGGAAGCTGCGCGTAGATAGTGTGTGTTGAGAGAAGTATGTGGAAGCTGCGCGTAGATAGTGTGTGTTGAGAGAAGTATGTGGAAGCTGCGCGTAGATAGTGTGTGTTGAGAGAAGTATGTGGAAGCTGCGCGTAGATAGTGTGTGTTGAGAGAAGTATGTGGAAGCTGCGCGTAGATAGTGTGTGTTGAGAGAAGTATGTGGAAGCTGCGCGTAGATAGTGTGTGTTGAGAGAAGTATGTGGAAGCTGCGCGTAGATAGTGTGTGTTGAGAGAAGTATGTGGAAGCTGCGCGTAGATAGTGTGTGTTGAGAGAAGTATGTGGAAGCTGCGCGTAGATAGTGTGTGTTGAGAGAAGTATGTGGAAGCTGCGCGTAGATAGTGTGTGTTGAGAGAAGTATGTGGAAGCTGCGCGTAGATAGTGTGTGTTGAGAGAAGTATGTGGAAGCTGCGCGTAGATAGTGTGTGTTGAGAGAAGTATGTGGAAGCTGCGCGTAGATAGTGTGTGTTGAGAGAAGTATGTGGAAGCTGCGCGTAGATAGTGTGTGTTGAGAGAAGTATGTGGAAGCTGCGCGTAGATAGTGTGTGTTGAGA